CAGGCGTGCGCTACCATGCCCGGCTAATTTTTTGATTTATTGTAGAGATGAGGTCTCGCCAAGCTGCCCAGGAGGGTCTCGAACCCGTGGACTCAGACAATCCACTCCACCTCAGCCTCCCAAAGCGCGGGATTACAGGCTGAGCCACCGAGCCCAGTTCGGGCAGTCATTTTTATTGTTCAGACTTGAATGAGGGAGTTTTGTCCTGGGATGTCCTTTGACTTTCCTGTTTGTTCATTTGATTATCTTAGAAGTTTCTTCATGACCCTTGGGAAGCATTCTCAGGGTTGAGACTACCGTTTTTTATTGTAACTAATCCTTATTAGGCACATTCTTGACTGTTTTCTGAGGACACTGCTGCATTCCTAGAAACCTCTTGCCCAAAGCCAAGAAAGGTTTTTATAATTGCTACAAGTGTCTATTACTATAGGTTCTAGGGAGCACTCACTCCTGGGTCTCTGAGCCATTTGTCCCCTATATCTGGACTTGAGAGAAGAGCCCGGAGAACTCTTTTGAACATTTCTTTAACCAGTCATCCCCTTGTCCTAAATAAAGGAAGCCTGGCTTCTTGTTCCTTTTGTTCTTTCTCCTTCATCACAGCAAAGAGTTTCATCCGTACATGAAGCTGAGGAGCCAGAGAGGCCTAGCTTTTTTTAATGCAAAAGCAAGATTGGGTTGTTTGCCAATCTTATAGTCCAGATGGAGGAGGGGTTTATCCTCAGGATTGACTCGACATCACCTCAGAGCACATGAAATGAAAACCCTAATGGTGTGCTTTTCAGAGCCCAAAGGAAGCAGTGGTGGTTATGGCTCTGGAACAACTGCCCTGCAGCCCAAGGGAGGTGGTCTCTTCCAAGGAGGAGTGCCGAAGCTCCGACCTGTGGGATCCAAGGATGCTTCAGGTATCTGATAAGTACTGTCTCAGGATATTTCCCAAGTGCCTTAATTTCTGAATGGTCCCAAGCGGGCCACCTTAGATTGAGGAGTGTGGTAGAGGTGGGAGGAAAGAGGAGTGGGAACAGGGAGTTATAGAGTACAATAAAGCAAGGAATTAAATAAAAATTCATTCAACTCTTTTTTTGTTTTTTTTTTTGGAGTTGGGGTCTCACTCTGTTGCCCAGACTGGAGCGCAGTGGCCGCTCCCGGCCACCGCAGCCTCAACCTGCTGGGCTCCGGCGATCCTTCCGCCTCAGCCTTCCAAGTAGCTGGAACTACAGGCACGCGCTACCATACCCGGCTCATTTTGATTTATTGTAGAGATGAGGTCTTGCCAAGTTGCCCAGGCGGGTCTTGAACCCGTGGGCTCAGGCAGTCCACTCACCTCAGCCTCCCAAAGGCGCGGGATTACAGGCTGAGTCACCGAGCCTGGCTCTCATTCAACTCATATAAGGAAAATTTAGTATAAATACACAACACTCACATTTAATCAGCCTTAAAAAAGCAGGAAATTCTGTCATTTCTGACTATGTGGATGAGCCTGGAGGACATAAAGTAAAATAAAAGACAGTGGCCATGCTTTTGCTAAGCTCTGGCCTGGCCATGCTTTCATTGAACTATTATGGCAAATGTTTTTTTCTAAGGTCTGGCCCCTTCCCCAGTCTGGGGAGGTGAACCACTCCCCTCTCTCTAATCTACTT